TTGAGCACTCTCCACACATTGAGCTTTCAATCTAAGGAAGTGTTGTCCAACAGAGGAGTTGCACACTTGCAAGTGCACAATTGCAGAGTTGCACACTTGCAAGTGCACAATTGCAGAGTTGCACACTTGCAAGTGCACAACTACGGAGTTGCACACTTGCAAGTATTCGACTTACATACGGACACTTACAACAACTGTTGAGCAGTTGCACACTTGGTTTATAAGTGTTGCAAAAAATGTTTAGCATTGCAAATTTTGACATTATTTCTTTGCTTTTTGATTGCTAAAATTTGGTCTCGCTCGATATCTGTCTGCTTTGAATGCCAAATATGTTTGCAATCAAGAGACAATAGGAGACTCTCAAAGAATGCCTGTCAAGAAGTCTTGTCAAGCGGAGCTACCACTCACTTTGTGGTGTTAGTGGGAGAGTGGGCTTTGCAAGCTTTCGGTGCGTGGGCGAGCGAACTTTCAATAAACCGGCGCCGTAACTAGATAACCGCTATCAGCATTCTCACACACCTGGCCTGTGGCCGGGCGTTTAATCACGACTGAGACGATAACACAATTCCCAGGAAATCTCTCATCTGGCTCTTTTTTATTTTATTTGCTTTTCCCGCAGATGTCCGCTCGGCTGCTGCTTTATCCCGTACTGCACCAACTCGTGCATGGCGGCTGCTCACTCCTGCCCCGTCTGCCACCAGCACCTCGGCACGTACGAGCGCTAGGAGCCCTGGCCGGCAGACCACTCTAACTTTTCGACATCAGCAAAAGTTAAATTATAAATACATCACTACAACTGTGGACCTAACAAATAAGAGTCGTTTTATGTGTGGACCATTCGTTAAGGAAGGGATTTCTCTCTTCTAAAATGCTACAATTATTTCGTAGAAAGTGCATTTGCTACCCGATATGCGAAACGTAGCTGCAGCAGTTTACTATACCGATAAGCATTCGAGGGGAAACTTTTCACTCCTCGCGCGATAGAGTTTGTTTGTTTTCTTTTTAATTAAATTTAAGTTGTTTTTATAACAAGGGGGCTTTTTACTTACTTATTGAACAACACAATATCCGGCTTCCACACTTTGTCTGGTGGTAGCCTGAGAACTCCTATTCCCCCGTAGTCCGCTTCGTCCCATTGAAGCTGGTAGTCGCTCCACACCTGCAATTTGATAACACATCACCTTCACTTGCTTTGAACACCACAAGACCACAAAATACGATAAATTTTGTACATCGCGTCCGAGAAACACACAAGCATTCGGTTTCGTTCCGCCACATGCTATTGCCAATGTACTACTCACCAATCTTAACCACACGTTCGATTTCATAATTTGATTCTTCTCATTCTGAAAAATACGAATACACAGTACTTTAGAGACTGGCGTTCAACACGGAAAAGCTGAACAAAACTCCTACAGATTGCGCGGTGCCGCGTAACACAAATTGCATCAAGTTTAACGTTCTTCTCTAAGCATATTGAAAATATTGTCGAAAGTAGAGGTTTTCGGGAGGCCAAAGATAAATGCACCCCCGTCCATGATGAGGGTACTTTTTCATAGCAGCCTGTTTACAAAACATCTATTATCAACAGTAAACTTTTTCAAAGGCCCATACGATAAAAGTGAACCGGCTCCCGAGTGAACGTAAAAATAAATTCGCGTTACGGGCCCCTTGGCCCCTCAGGCTTGGCGGGCCGCCGTGCGGGTAGGCAGGCCCGTGGCGCGCGCGTGGTGGCCGGGTCTGCCTAGCGCACAGGCGCTCCCCGCCACCCAGCCCCAGCCCCAGCCCCAGCCCCCCCGGCACTCACCACGTTGATGAGCTGCACGAAGGCGAGCCCGAACCGCACGTCCACCTTCTGCGTCATGTTCTGCACGGGCCGGATGAGTTTGTTGTAGCCTCGGAAGAGGTCCCGGACCAGCCGCTCCTCGTCCTCTGAGCACAGAGCTGCGGAGCACAACATTTTGGGATTCAGCGAACGATAAACGCACACACAACACAGCCCCCGCCCCAACCCCGATCCACTCCACTCGTCTCGAGGCCTGTTCACTGCGCGGAGATGATGTCGGAGAGGCAGCCCATCAGGTCTCTACCCCCCACCCCTTCCCAACACCGCCTCCCCTCCACTACAAAACCACTCGCCTCCCGCTGCGCCTCCGCAAGAGAGCGGCTCTGGAGTGCATATCCCGGTAAACAAACCGATCACCACCTCCTGGAGCGATAAAGTAACAGGATGGAATTATAATAAAAGTAAGACGAATAATAACCCCGTTTTGGCTCTTTTTCCAGTGCTTTAAAATCACTAGTTGTCTTTTCATCCAACTAGCTTAGAGAAGCACGCACATCCCTGTATTATTCCCTTGTCCGGCTTTCGCAGCCTCCACCACCCTCCTTGATGGTAAAGATTAAGAGAAATATAATGGGAACCCTGCAGGACGGGGAGTGGGACACCGCCGCGATACCGTCGCTCCACCGTGGAGGGTCCCGTCCTGGAAAGCCCCGCCCTGGAGCGCTCCGTCCCGCAGGACCCACGGGGGAGAAGGTAGGGGGGAGGTTTGGGAGGGGGAGGGGGGGGAGGGGGGTCCGGCTGCTGGGCGTGGCGCCTTTGGCTGCCTCTGTGCGCCTTTGGCGCGCTATCGACCCGCTCCACGTGGCAGAGTAGCAGGAGCGGGGCGTGGCGGGGCGTGGCGGGGTGTGGTGGGGCGTGGCGGAGGCACGGTACCATCCGGGTACTACCGGGGAGAACAGCGATGAGGACGCCCCCCTCCCCATGCCAAGTGGGGGCGGGGCAGTTCGGAGGTGGGGGCCACGGGGTAAACGACCTAGGTCCGGGATGACCCTTTTGGGGTGGTCACGGATTTGGAAGTTGTTGTTGTTGTCATTGTTATTGAGTCGTTCATTCCTCTGCTTACCTAACGCTCTCTAACTAACAACTGATGAACTCGAAAATTCGAAAACAAAAATCCGCACATTCCCCCCACGTCTAATCCCTTGAGGTCTTACGACGCGGCCTCCCCTCCCCTCTTCTTTTTGGTCTGAGATTGCCCCGTTGCCGAGAGAGATGAAAGCAAACATCTCGCCGGAGACAGCTCAGGTTTTAAAATGTGGGTCGCTCGCTCCACTCCCTCTCTTCCCTCTCTCAATCAGCCAAGCCCCCCCTCCGGGCCCCCACTCCGGGGATCCCGCTGATCTTCACGACAAGTATTTTCGTCTACAGAGTCGGTGGTGGGTTGGGCTGGCGCGCCACGGCGCGGCGTGGTGTATCTGCACCATCACTCGCGCGGTCGGCCGCCTCTCAGACTATCGCTCCCCAATCGCTGGGCGCGTTCGAAGCCGTGTCGCGGAATGGGGCCGCGTTCGACGCAGCGTGGAGTGTTTGCGTCTTCAGGGCCGCATAACGTCCCCGACGAGCCTTTGTTGGGAGTGCGGGGAGTGATGCGCTATCGGCATCGGCACAGACAAAAAAACAGAGGGACAACAAAAGAGAGCCGAGGGTGATTTTAGAGAGCAACGGCAGAGAAAGGTTAAGCAGGACAACCGAAACGTAATACAGGCAACACGGTTAAAATCTTGTTACAAATCATTTCTTTTGTAAGCTTATACAATAAGTCGCCGATTGCTTTGAACTGCGGAGCAGCAGTAGCAGTCTTTGTCTTTAAGCGGAACTATGCTTCGTAGGGGCTGCTGTTCTGTTTTCTTTCGGAGCTTACAGAGAATAATCGGTTACAAACGGGGGTCCTCAGCTCCCATTGGTCGTTTATGTACGAGGGAATGCTCATTATCAGCCTAACATTGTAATATTGACATAAACATATGTGATATTAATGTAGTATTGAAGTAAAACCAGTCCGTGTGCGAAGGAGTATCAGAGTTGATTAGCCCCTTCCAATACAAAGAAATTCTTTGTAGACTTTCAAGTGAAGGGAAGTTCTTGTTATGTGCCTGAAGTTGTAGGCAGGTGGAATGATGGGCTTGTAAAAGATAAGGTGCGTGCATGCATAAACATTAGTGGTCTGATTCACCCCACCTACTCTTCAAATGAAACTGTATAGCATAGTGGTGGTTTTAACTGCAAAACTAAACACTCAAAAACTAATTGTGTAACTGCTTCAGACTTGTAAGTGTTCAACGGTAGGTTGATTACTTGCAAATGTGCAACTCCGTTGCTGTACACTTGCAAGTATTCAACTCGGTAGGTGTGCACTTGCAAGTGTGCAACTCCCCAGTTGAGCAATACCCACAGTGCAGTGCAGTTGCACACTTACAAGTGTTTACTTAGTTTATCAGTGAAGTCTTGTAGTTCAAACTGTAAAACTGAAACGTTTTACATTTTGAACTGCAGAACTAAAGAGCCCTGCAGTTTGAGCTGCAGAACGTTTTAGTCTTGCAGTTAGTGTAAAACTTCTTTTAGTTTAGCAGTTAAACTGTAGAACGTTTTAGTGTTTAAATTGTATGCAGACTTTTATTTTTCTAGTAGAAACTGTCAAACTGAAAGCTTGCATTTAAAACTGGCATCCTGTTCTACAGACATACTCGCGCGTCTTGAAGGCGAAAGTGTCAAAGACGGTAGGCAACCCTTCCCGCGTTCAGCTTCAGCTGTAACCCAAGAGTACCTAAAAATGTACAGACAAGGGAATCGGCCACTCGGTAAAGAAGAGGAGAATGCGGGAGGGAAGGGAAGAAAAAGGAAGGGGTCCCTCGAGTGTGTCAACGCGGCGCGCACTTCAAATAATCGTCCAGTCGGCCGGCCGGCGAGGCTCCGCGAGAGAGTGGGGACGGGGAGGGGGGGGGTGCCCCACGGGTGGACGGGATGGGCAGGGTGCAGCGGGAGGGGTAGGGGTGCAAGGTGTGGTGTGGCGGGGCGCGGCGGGGCATGGTGGGGCGAGGCGGGGCGCCCGGAGGGGGCGTGGCAGCTCCGCTATCGATCCCCCCACCACGCCACGCCGCGTGCTCACAAGGCTAGCTACCCGACTCCGAGGGAGACAGGGGCGCCCCGCCACGCACCGCCTCGCAGGAGCGCTGGACCGCGTGGGGACAGGACTGCGGCGACGGCGGAGACCAACACGGACAACGTTAATTGCATCGCTCTGAATAAGGGAGTTGATTCATTTATGGTTTTTAAAAAAACAGCTACAAAACAAAGAAAAAACTACAGGCGTTTCTTTTTGCAGGACCCCCTGATCATTTACTTTTATTTTACTGTAGTGGTCCAAGATGTTTTCTAAATTTAGTAAAAATAGAAGTGGCCTTCAGGGAGAGCAGTGAAGGGAACTGCTGACATAATCTAGCTCAAAGTAGAAAAAGGACATTTTGATTAGTTCAGGTAACGTTGTCTGTCAAAAGGCCAGATGGCAGGTAGATGGATGTCTCTGAAGACATGCGCTGGTCTTGGCAGCTAGTTTCACGCGAAAGTGTTTTAAAACGTTACCTCCGTAGCGCCGCATTGACAATGCGAATTAAAACGCACAAAAAAGGGCACACACTCCTGGCGCATTGAATGCGCATTTAGTGCTTATTACGCGAAATGCGTCAGGAGTGTGTGACCTTCCTTGCGCATTTTAATGCCCATTCACTGATAAACTAAGTATTCAACTGCTCAACACTAGTAAGTGTGCAACTGCAAGTTAAATACTTGCAAGTGTTCAACTGCGCAGTCATACACTTGCAAGTGTTTAACTTGGTAGGTGTGCACTTGCAAGTGTACAACTCCTCGGTTGAACAGTTCCTTAGATTTAATGTTCACTGTGTAGGAAGTGCTAAATCGAGAAGTTGCACACTTGCAAATGCACACCAACCTAGTTAAACACTTGCAAGAATTCTACATGCAGTTGCACACTTCCAAGTGTTTAACTGGCAGTTGCACACTTACAGGTGTTTAACTGGCAGTTGCACACTTACAGGTGTTTAACTGGCAGTTGTACACTTACAAGAGTTGAGCAGTGAAACACTTAGTTTATCAGATTACCGCATTGAATGCGCATTAATGCACATCGGCACTTCAGGGGATGTCGACCCAGTTCTGGCAAATAGTGTTCACGGCCTCTCGTCGGGCTCGTCACACGAAGGTGTAGGTAAATAATTGTTTGGGCGTTTCAGACAGAATGCCACAGTGCCCTTCGGCAACGAGTTGCGCTGCTTTCACCGGCCGGCGAAAACGCCCCTTGAGGCAGCGCAAGTACACTAATTTCACACTAAATTTCTGAAATTGGGCCGGTTTTAAACACGTGTCAACGTGACACCAGAAAGACCGATATTTTCAGACAGATGTACAGCTGCCCTATCGAAACAAAGTATTCTTTTTAAATCTTTAAATTCCCACAAATTTTCATTATTATCATTAATCTTAATATAGTAGTTATGAGGGATCTTCTTTAAGGAGCTTTACCGTGGCGCATTGAGGTTAGAGTGGTATTGTTTGTTGTGGTTGTGCCTAATGATTCTCTCTTTAACTCGACAGAAAAAGAAATTTAGTAAAACTTGATAGAAATGTCAGTCAAACTGTTACAAAGTGTTTTTTGAAAAGGTAAATTGACTATCGTTTAATCAACTGGGATTCTCGTATAACTGAAATGAACAGGAGTTCTCGATGCTCTTAATCGTAATAAGAACATATTATTTAACTGATGAAGTCTGACTTGATAGTCAAGTCGTTAGATGTATGTGTGGTACCTTCAGAGTTTGATATATGAATAGATACTCGGACAACCTTGGCCACTATGGCGTAGCCCTAAGTGGCCCAAGGTTAGTTACATCTTTTGTGTTTACGATATCAATGCCTTCATTCTACTAATCATTTCAAAACACGACGATAGCAAAATTTGAAATCTGAAAATACAGCATTTAAAAAATATTTCATTTAAAAATATAGTAAGGTTGGATTTAGTGGAAAACTTTGCTTGGGTGGTTGTCCTCCCATAACCTCATTCTGGTCCACAAGAATGAAAGATGGGGGACGTTTGTTGCCCAAACGTGAACTACCCAATGAAATAAGTTTTACATCACCACGGAATGTGATCGGAAACGTCAAAAATCTGCTACTGGTTGTTTGGCGCACAAACAGTGGTCCGGGAGCGAAAGATGTGAAATTGGCGTAACACCAACAACAAACTAGACCACCAATGAGTACGTACCTAGCAAGGGCGCGGAGGCGAGACAGGCCAGCGCCACGAGCCATGCCTGTGTAATCCTCATGTCGGAGCAGCAGTATCCCCATCCGAGGGGCGTGGAACCGCTACGCCCGGACCCTCATTTTCTTGGTCGGGCCTCGCTGGGGCCTCGGCGAAGTTAGGCCCTTGGGCTGGGCGGGCTGGGCCCGAGCGCAGTACAGCACGGCGCGGCGCGAACTGAGTAGGGGGCCTGCCCAGCCCAGCCTGAGTGAGCGGGTGGGTGGTGCCACCCCACCTTCCCCGCCGATCCGCCACCCTCTCTCCACTGTTGTTTTTGTTTTTTGCTGTTTCACTTCGCCTTCTGCCGAGGATTTTTACGACTGCCCCCCTTTTTTTAAACGCCTAGACCAGACGCATAGACAAGCTGGACAGCCTAAATAATATAGGAGATTAACTGCATAACGGACTCCAAAACCGACGGACGTCTGGCTGACTTGAAGGGCAGGACCGCCACCAACCACGCGAAACGAGCCTGGGGATGGGATGGGGATGTCTTGTCGACGACCGTTTGAAAGAAAGTTTCTTTCGTCTCGCACAAAAAAATTAAAAAGTATGGTGAGACTGAAGCCCCCCCTTCCCTATTTTACCTCCTCCCATAAATAAAATTCGTAGAAACCACCACCGTTTTTCAAAGACAGCAGTTAATTCTAATCTAAAAACTTGAAAAGTCTTATGAAAAAAATCAACACAAAAAACAAAAGTGACGAGATGCAGTAACGTTAAAGCGGGTTTGGGCGTGGCGGCGGGTGCAAGTAGCCTAATGGCTTGCCGGTGGTATCGACCGGGCCAGCAATGCTTGGCTCAACCCAGCCCTTCCCAGCCTGGACCAGGACCAGGGTGGTGGAGGGGGTGGAGCGGAGTCTCTCTCTCTCTCTCTCTCTCCCTCTCTCTCTCTCTCTCTCTCGCGCGCGCGTGTCCACGCTCGTTCCTTTGTTGTTTCTGATTATTTCCTTGGCATTGCAAAGCGGCGATTTGACACAAATAAAGTGTTCAACTGGCGTGCACATGCAAGTGCTCAATACTATGTTGCACACTTTTAAGTGTTCAGTTTGAAGTGTCCAAAAGCTTCATGGCCAACCCTGGTGTTGAACACTTTTAAGTGTTTAGCTTTACTCTTAAACCCTTCATAGTATTCAAATATCCAGCCAAACACTTTGAAGTGAGCAACATAGTGTTGCGCATGAGCACTTGCATGTGCACGCCAGTTAAACAGTTTCATTTAACACTACAAATACCGAGCCTTGTGTCAACTGATAAGTATAATGTCGAAAATAAATTGTTCAGGGTCCATAAGGAGGTAGATAACATTACAATTCTTAGTACTTTATTATATAATTTTCAGTAGTAACAATATTTTATTCGTAATACTCTCCAATAAAAAAACAACACATAAATTAATGAGCATTCATAAAATCTACTAACACCATGTCATCTGTACATTATAATTTTAACAATTACGGATGAGCTAGTTGTTCTCATCCAGGCACCGCAGCGCCGTATTACACGACTACACTTTGCCTCATATTGACTCGTCCCTCCACAAAATAGAAATGATCTTTCGATGAGAAAAGAAGCAAAATCGTCCAAACGACATCGAACTGACAACGACGTGGCCATGTCAGAGTCATCTCGGTGTCGTTCGAACTTTGCCTATAGTAGCCACCAGGTAAGGTGAGAACGAACCACTGGTTCGCAGTGCGCTTTGGAAGACAAAAACTGCGACTTGGGATGAAAATATTTTGAAGGGGATTTAAATGGAAATAAAATACAGATACACATTTTAGCAGCTAAAAATAATAATAAAAAATGGCTTATTTGCTTCCCTCGTGCCTAAATGATATGACAGTTTAAGCCGAGGAGATAGAACATTTTCTCCCAAGACGAAAGTTACTTTGCAATAGAGTTGACGTAAATGCACACGCAGTACAGAGGACCACATAGTAAGTCGTCAAAAGTCAGACCCCAGTCGAGCTCCGTAGTCGAACGAGGGGCTGATGATCCTGCAGAGAGTCGAGTCGGCTGAGGCACAGATGGCCCCATGGGGGGGCGACCCATGCTACTGACAGGCAGTCAAAAATTGTCAGAAAAGACAAGTATCCAAAAAGCCAGTCGCAGGGCGAGCAAAGTTCTACCTTTACGGCTTGGTTTTCAAGCCGTAAACCTAAAGCTGGTCATTGTTTCTCGGCAAGTCCAACCAGGCAAGAGAGATCCAGATTTTCTGCGAGAAATAAGAGGTACTTACAATGCAACGGAACGCGTCACTTAAATGTCAAATTCATTTTGGCTGGAAAATAATAAATGGCAAGACTATAATAAGAGCCCTTAGGTTACGTTCCCATTAGCAACATGATGCCGCCTTGTTTACGGTCAGTAACAATAGGCTATATATCTCGCAAGGTGCTGCTCAGAGATTTTAAATCTCAATTGAAAGTTGTGCATATTTTTTTCCTTTTTTTGCTAAAAACAACTTTTGAGAAACTACCAGTCGTTCCTTGAGTTCTGAATAACACTACAATCATACAACCGTTATTTACAATCGTTCACTTTTCTGCACAAGGCACTAGGTTCCCTTTAAAATACAAGATACACGTTAAATGTGTCATCTGTTGTTGGCAGTAGATGAGGTATTAAGTAATAATAAAAACCAGGACATTTCTTAACCTGGTTTAAGAAATCAACTACATTAGGGATGATTGATGCAAAGGTTCCAAGATGAATAGTGACTTTGGTAACTGGAGAGTTTATTCTCCTAGCACATAGGAAAAAAATCTACGCGAACCTAAGTTATACAATATTTCATTTACACTTATAGGGTTTGGCCCATGGCTGATGATCTGCATTAAGTTACTACCAAAAGTAACATGAGGTGTTTTTCAATTATATTCACAACAGCTCAAAATGAGGTGTAAGACATTAGAGTACAAAGGGGTAAAAGGTGTAATGGAAAAGATGTTATTCAGGACACGTGGAGCTCCCGAACACCCTGGTGCGCATATTGCTTAGAAGTTAAAGCGAATTAGATTATAAAAGCTGTCTGTTTATAGCCTGTTACGTTAAATTGTATTTACGATTTATTGCATAGGGTTAAATTCTCTCACGTTTCAACATAAGTTATTAAACCCCTGTACCATATTAATATCCTAACAACATTTTGTGGTCAACAGGTAGGTGCATAATCACAGTTCTTTATTTCCGACTCATCCTTCCGGCACGCAGTCTCATTTTACTTTCTAAATTGCAGTTTATTGCGACAAATTAGATGAAATCAATTCAAGGAACAGAACTGTGTTTATGGAACCTTTTACGCTCCTGTGTTTCATAATCGCCCCTATACGCCCCTATATCATAGGAAAAAGTTTAAGACACTTGGTCAAAAACTCAGTCTTTAGAAAGTTTGGGGTATATGTCTTCGGAGAAGGACTTTAAGTACACGCATGCATTCTTTAAAGAGCTGATAAACTCAGATTACCACTCTTCAAACAATAACCTATTTCAGGTATTTATTTCCTACGCTACAATCCTAACTTTTGAGTCCCAAACAATCACTTTTTTCAAGGCAAACACGAGAAATGCGAAGAAATATTTAAAATAATTAGGTAGTGCGTATTGTGACGAGTCCACAAGAAGGGGAAGAAATAGGGAACGACGGTACATCGAAATGTTTTCGAGGAGGTAAGATAGTGACAAGGCGAAAGTAAATCCTACCTACAAGTTTTAAACGTAAGAATTTTTTTGAAGGGTAAGATTTGCAAACCAGCAGCAACAAGATGACTAATGTACCAAGCCTAATATTTCCCCCTCTGTTTCAATAAAATTTGATCAAACGAAACATATTACTCAACGTTAGTGAATCCTAAAGGGTGAACTGTTTATTTCACGTCTTAGAACGTAAATGTATTTACAACTCGTCGGGGAACCTATGCATCAACACTATCTTCGGCGAATTTTGGAAACTATCCGAACCATTTCGGAAAGAAAACAACTGCCGCGTTAACGCCATTCATCCGGGTGAATTCGACGCCCTATAATAGTTTGCCTTAGAAAAATAGTTGTCTGGTAGACGGTTATACTAACTACTGGGAGCACCAATGAACGGCCAGTGACAGGACCTGGCCTAAATGCGACAGAAAATTTTCATTTGCAAAAGAGCTGGTTTAAAACGAACAGTGAGCTAATGAAGAGAAAAGTAGTGATTAGGTTTAAATTTAGAACAATTTATACAGACGATCAATGGCGGGGAAAGCAGATCATTTAAAGTCTTAAATCAAGTTGATCAGTCAATTGCATCACATTTCTCTTCTTAAAATGAAATAATGTTTATCAAGTGGCAACACTAAGCACAAGAAAGCGACAACCCAGATAGTGTTTTCCCTTGAAAGCCGATAGCGTAATTTCAATTCCTGTAACATACTACCTTTCAATTTTATCTATACTACCCAGTCATCGGATACTGAAAGAAAGGCTCTTTAAACAAATGGGAAAAATATAGATATGTGAAAACACTTCTGAGAAATAATGCAACAATCGTAGGCAATGGACCTGTACCATGGAATGAAACGTCCGCACAAAGGGGCCAGACGGTTTTCAAGTGAACGTAAATTTTAAACCATGTAGAATGTCAACGTTGATCAGAATTCTACCCTGCTTGTGCTAGTTTACGACTCATACCTTTTTCTTTTCTGAAATTTGACAACTCGATTATACGGAAAACATTTAGATTGCTTAGTAGATTGATTTACTGTCTGAAACGTAAACCTAACAACCCAATTAACGAAGTTTTAATATATATATAAAGTTTACTTTAACCTGTCTCCTTGGACATTGCCCAGCGACTCATGAAAATCTGTGTAATAAAGTTAACGGGAGGCATAACGTAGAGTAGTAAGTAGCCCAGTACGAAGCTGAAAGACACTGTATTTTGTTTCGAAGTTGCTTTTGCAACTTGTGTGCGTTTTGACGTCAAACTGCTCATCTGCATGTTTACAAAACCGTATGGGTGGGACGGAAAAAGAAAGATTCTAGCTCTGCCGCAGCGACTGCCTCCTTTTACGCTCTATACATGCGTGCCCGAATCTCCATTCCAGTTAGATGTTCCCTATTTCTGCCGAAGCCGATTGACTCTTAAAGCGTATCGGGAAAAAATGCAATGGTTTTGAAGAGGCACAAAAAAAGTAAGGGTTGTCACCTGAAATGAAAGCATAGTGGTATTTATCTTTCTTGTACCAATCAGTAGTAATATTAAACCAAGTGGAAAGACCCTAAATGATTCCCCGTCGTATTGCCTCTTGCTTTATAACTTCGAGCCTATTTCATAGACACTTACTCATCCATACAAACATTTCGGCTACCATTACCACCGATATCTAATAAGGTCGCAACCAGTAGGTAGCCATTTCAATTTCTCTTTCTTTCATTCTCACGAAAGTAACAAAATTAAATTTAGATTTATTCAAACAGCTTTACATGACCCAAAATAAGATTAAAAACAATAACTTAAATGTCTCAATAATTAACTTCAAATATGTGCTACGCAATCCATAAGGTATTTCGCAGCCGATTGTCAGATCTGTTCTCACAGGACAGCCCTTGTATTTTGAGGTAAAATATATTTTGTATCAATCTTTCTTTCAGTTTGTGTGAACTATTCTAAACAAAGACTACTGACAAAGTTCTGAGCGCCTCACATTCTGAGATCAATTTCCACCAAAGCTACGAGTGGCTGTGTGCGGTTGGCCAGTCATAATTTCCAAAAAAAACTATTAATGATTTGAAAATGATACTTGCGGACCAGAGTAGAATTAAAAGAGTCTATGCGGGTGTAGGCAAAAGTATTGCATGGAAGTGAAGAGTATTCTGAAATGTTTGGTAAATATTTCATGGGAATGACAACCATCAGAAAAATGGCTGACCAAACACTAAATATCTGCCACTACTTCAAAACTCGCGATCATTCTCCGAGGCAAAAGGTGATCCCACTCTACGAATGTACACAAATAGTGTTATAAACTGTACAAGAGCTACGGCAGAAAACAATTTTTGGTAAATATAGATCGTACTGTACAAAAGTAAATATATAAAACGAACTTTGAATTGAGTTTGAGTTAAGTTTTGACGAGAACACTAACGGTTCTTACGTAACAGCACAACGATGAGCTGAGAAATTGTCATGACCCTCCATGAACAAAAAAAGAAAAGAAAAAGAGAATTTAACTTCTCTATATACACCGTCGCATCTCTCAGAGGGTTAAAGGCAGTGAACTGTCCTATGAATAGGGAAAATAAGAACACTCAGCCTGGATCAACGCAGCTATATGAAACGGTAGAAACCAGGACTTCACCCAACCGAAACTGGACTCTACGTGGAACAAGCGTGTAAAAAGCCAGGTTGAGCAAGTCAGAGCGCCTTTGCTAGGGGTTGGAGGGGATGCCAACCACCTCAACAAAATCACGCCACTGCAACACCAGGACAAGTTCCCTTTCAGAAGGGACGGGCAGTACGGGGAAATATTCAGCGTCTAGATGCACTGTAGAATTGGTCGATGTGGCACAATGTCTCATTAGGCTTAGGCAAGCTATTACTGTACATAGCGGATCACCGAGCAGGCGCACCACGCCTCTAGCTTGGGGCGAGTGGGGACTCTTAGGAGTCCCCGAGGCCCTTTAATCCTGATCGTTTAGTTAACAGCTTGGGATTACTTCTAACACATTTACGGGTTATTTTTTCACATTCACAATGCAGTCCGAGCAGAGCACTTGTGCATTAGTGAACCTTGTAAAAGGGCGTTAGTAAATTACAAAAATATATATTTTGGGGATTTTCGGGGTGACGTAAAACGTTAGTGTAATCCCTACTACGTACCAGGGTATTCTTTAAATTGTCTCCGACGGGTACGCACTATTCATGCGATTAAAAACTTTAATTGCCTCACAACGCGGTTAACGATAACAGCTAACATCCGCGGGAAGACCAGCTCCCCGGGAACTAACCATAAAAAAATCACAACAGTTAAAATTGATTAATGAATATGTATATTAGGAGAGAAAAACCAGTTTCGGTCATGGAATTTCTTTTGAGGGAAACGATCTATAGTCACGGTTGGAGCCCATGGTTGTGAGCAACTTTGTGCAGTGGTACAAAAAGTTAAGATATGGCGAGTTTAACGCTTTTGAAAGAACTTTGCACTAAACTAAAGCCAGAAGGCACAGTCATTTTAGCCGCAGAGTTCGGCTACATCAGTTATACTTTTAGTCGGGCGACCTACAGACATTTTTATATACAAAACGCGCAAATTATTCTGTTAAACGGATGTACTATTAGTCATTTTTTTTAGAAACTGGCAGCGGTCATCAGTAATGAGTTTGATTGTACACAGCGGGACAGAAGCAGCCTTTTCTTTAACGGGTTAAGTAAATTATTTATCATGTTGATTTAGTTTATTTAACATTACAGCAGTTTAACTTTGATATTTAGTCCAGGTTCATTAGTTAGATTATCACAATTATGGGCAAAGACTGCCACTATCCCATTTTCTAATAAAAATTGAAGATAGCACTTTTAACCGCCTACCAGAAATTATTTAGATATTTGGTCGTATACAGTTAAAGCTTTACCATAAGGTTTATGTCTGTGAGCAACCGTTGGCAACAATAAAAAACTTAAGCGCCTGTGGCGCGCCCGCTCCCCCGAGTCCGCTTAAAATATCCAGCAATGCAGTTTCTCACTACCATCAACATTCCAATTGAATCTTAAATCTACAAGTACAAGACAATTTAACCATAACCATCAACAAACAATTTACGTCTATCTAAGTCTATTAGATACATGTATTCGTACGAATACAAAGGTCTATATTCATCAGTGTTTTATGAAAAACGTACTTTTTAAAAAGTCACCGAATCGATGGCCGTTACTTGGGAATAATTCGATTGATAACAATTTATTAAAAACAACTTGAACTAATGGTAGTTTCGAAAACCCAGAAAATGCCTTATGTACAGTAGCAGTATAAAAACAAGAAAATACAAATAACATTTAAGAAAAAACCGTTATTAAAAAAATGTAAAACTTGAATCACCCGTTTGTCGTTATCTTTAATGATCCTACTCTACGTAAAGGTTGCGCGGTTACGCCTATTTGAAGGCTAATTGCCCTCGATACCAACCCGCTCACCTTAAGAGTTGACTCAAGTAAACCCTATCTCATCTGCCAAGGAAGCCTGACCACGGGGTCAAGGCCACAGAAAATCACAATGCATTGAGTATGATTCGAATATTTTCCAAATCAATTTGTTTTTGTTTTGTTTTCATTCAATTTAGTGCACGCGCCACTTTTCGCGCACGGCCCGTCGGCTTGGAGTTTGGTTGAGGCGAGAAAGAAACTTAAGAAATTGTGCCAATGGCACTGCTACTGATATCTAAAACAAGTTCATAAAGAAACACAACCGAAAACCAGTGTTTGACAACCTCAGCGCTAGGGTATGCTACAGATACTGCCTGCCTTCCATGCTCTAGTTTAGCACATATCTGGCTCTAAATTACGAGTCTTGTGGCCAGTATAACTTTGGTCCCTTTGCATTGGATTGGAAAACACTAGTTTGCAAGGACGGACATTTGAACGACCCAGCACAAAATTGATTCGTGAGTAGCGCTGGAACTTCAGAATTCGACAACGCAACGAAGGGAGCCCACCTCATCCACCTCCTGTTCAAACTGTCGAGTTAGAAATAAATGAGTATTTTCTTTGAAAACTAGCATTGCCTAAGATTTGTTTTATAAAATTAGACAACTGACAAAAATATACGAAAGGCTGCTAGAAGTCCCAGCTCCGCCATTCGGATAAACAAAGTTATTTTCAACAGTTTTGGGCTACGAGCCGCGACGCGAAACAGCGGAACGTGCTCACTTTTATATAACACTAATTAAAAGCGCACCGGCCCAGGACATGATTACGACACCTCTAAACGATTTCTGCCCGCGATAAAATACTCAACCAATAGGATTTGATGATAAAAGCGAACCAAGTCGCAAAAGATTGACATTAACAGCCGAGTAATTTACAACGGGTGAAGAAAGCCAACAACTTAATGCACTCTGACATACTTTCGTCAATAAAACCAACATTTCAATTCTTTGAAAACACATCAAAATGAAAAAAATGCAGACAATTCATAATGTGACATTTTTTTCTCACAATTCCGAGGTGGTATTTCACTTTCCTCCACCAAACAACGAACGCTGTGTGGCCGGAATGCCGGCGCCGTACCGCCAGGGAAGACCAGCTTCCTTGACGGCACTCCGGAGCCCCGCCATCTTGCGCGTCCGGGCCGCGAACCAGCGCCGCCAGTGACGAGACACAAACAACAAGAACAACAAACACGCGTCACGTGACGATGATGTGAGGTGCCGAGAAAAGAACGGCTATGGTGGCGATCACGGTGAACAGGGTGAAGATGAACAGGCACAGACGATCTACTACCATGGCAGCGAACTTCCAGTCGTTCGTGATTTCTTCGGCCTCGTCCGTCTTGCGCAGCTTATCCGTGATGTGATGCAGCTCTTTGAGAATTAAGGTGAGCTCGCGGTGTGGACCTAGGCAGCCCGCCCCCGCCGCTGCAGCTGCTGCATGATGGAGCAGCGTGCCACCCCCAGCACCGCCGTCGTCGGCATGCCGAAGATACCCCGCCCCCGGCACGCCAGAGGACTGCGAAATAACGATGATTTTTTTGAGGCACATAACAATTTAAATGTAAACAGAGACGCGTAGATCTTTGTAAATTGCTTCGGCAAATCATAAGTACAAATGAATTGCAGATAAATTAGAAACAGTGCGCGTGTTTACCATGGGATGTCCCGGTAGCGTGCCATGATGTCGGAAGTCATCATCGATATCCAACACATTTGCTAACAGGCTCTTAGAAGAACGCTCCTTAAGTTCCAAACTTTGAGGTGATTTTCTGGAGCCAGGTGAACCACCTGCAGGTGTGTCCTCTGGTAAAGGCCTCGACATTCTAAGAATGCAGGGCAACCACTGCAGGAACAGGCAGCGTACCTAGAAAGACAGAACAATGAATTACTTCTCAAAAGGAACGACTAAAACCAAAAATTACGAGAGTAGCACTGTTACAATATCGTAACGTCGTGGGGCACAATAAAACATCGCTTACCCATGGAGACATTTCATGTGTGTCTGCGCTGCGATGGTGGTAGTTAAGAATTAGGATTGTTGAGACTACGGACGATGCCACCATGAACATGATGCAGTTGAAATAAGTACCTGTATTCACATAGAAAGAATTAGTGAACATGCATGGGAGATATTTTGTTAGTACAAAAACAACGGGTATTATTTAGCAAAAAAATTAAATAAATCTGAGTCACGCGCGGAGCAAACTGCCCCGTTATAGGTTCAGTGACAAAACAAATGTGATCTATTTAGCTTGTTTCTATAATAATTGCTTAACCGGGTTTTCTACATATAAGTTGTTATCTTACAACCCAGGAAGTTGAAAAAGTTCACTGAAACAAAATATAGGGAAGGAAAACAAGACATAAGAAAGAAAATGTAATGTGGTCCCTGGGACTGCATTTTAGTTTAAGAATGAACTTAGTTATATGACGAAGATATAGTTAATAAAACTAAACGTGAGAATCAGTAGAAGACGTGCCAATGTTTTTCTTTTAAAACAGAGTGTTTTACGTTTAAAAAAAGACAACTCTGAGGCACCAAGAAAAACAGAGACACGCCAAAGCGTTAAATCCAAGCTACATTGAAAATAAGTGAATTTGTTTTGCATGCTGTGTTGTGGTCTCCTAGTTGTCGCTAATTAGTATTAAAACTGAATAAATCCGAACAAGTAATGCACGGATAGTAACAGAAGGTGTTCGTGGATACAGAGTGAATGCAACTCGAATGATGAAATCAATGGTCTATGGTTTAATAAGACATACCTAGGAGAACCACTGTATGCGACACATGGCGTGTGACTTACTGTATGCAATACACTATTTGTATAGCTAGATGTATACCAGGTAAGAGGTCGAAGATCAGCGCTATTTTGACTTCAAGTAAGAGTGTATATTCAAGCTAAAAGCAATCACGTTTGTGATAAGTATAAAAGTGAAATAAAAAAGTAAGAGGTAGACTTTTTTTCGTGCCAGATATATGTGGGTCTCTACAGATCGTATCGGTGAATCCGGACAATCGAGTTCATAAACTGATTTACAAAAATACACATGGCGAGTAGATAAAAAATCTACCTCTTAAGGCGGAGTAGTAGTTCTCTCCACACTCACACCAATGCTCAACTTTTAGCTTACGTTTAGCTTAATTATCTAATTTAGATAAAAGTAATTTAACTTAAGCGAATCCATTTGTTACTTGGAGGCAGAGGGGCTTCATCCCAACACCAGTAGGCTTAGAACACTAGTGAAAACATCGAAATGGAGTGGGAAAATCACGACATTTCGATATTATACATTCCGTAAAATCAGCAGTATTTTCGTCACATTTCCAAGGACATGCGACAAAATTGGCAATACCGATTTTAAAGAAGTGTTCAGATCAGGCCTTTTCAATCGTTTGTTAAAAACGGTGCCTTGTTAGACTCAGGTCGGTTTAGTTCTGTTTTGTTGTGGTGGTGCTGGCTGGTGTGTGGAAAGGAACTGGTAGGCAGGTAGAGGGAACAGGGTGCAAGAAGGGTACCCACACTTGATTCAGTTCGTTTCAGCTGGAAGGAATGCATTAATTAGTTGTGCAAAAATGACAAATAGAAACCATCCACGTCATTCTGCAACAGAATTAATCAATATACATAATCAGCACAGCTTGTAGTTAAAAGGAATTTCGTAGTTAGAAGGGTACAATGAGAATTATTCAGATGTTTGGCGTTTAGGCACCGAAAAAAATTGATTAGAAATGCTAAAATCAGTCATGCTTGAGCATTCTCACTCACTCTCACAAAATCAGCGAATTCAGAAGGCAGTTGAAGAACCTCTAAATTACACAATGGCTACATTCAAAAAGGTATAACGTCATCATTTACCACGACTACTTTAAAACAGTTTATTTAATATGGAGCTAGATACAGTAAACAATTTAGAAAATCCAGAGACTTTATTCATAGACACACTTCTTCAAAAGGCAAGGAAGTAATACCAGCAAGAAAAGCATAGCAGGGAAAAATTATAGGGAAACTCAATTACCAACGAGTATTTTTATAAATAGGTTAAATGACTTATTTATAAAAATATATTGTTTCAGTAGTAGTACGGAAACCGTCAGGAGTGAACCCATTGAACTATCAAAACATAACTTTAGGTTTCATGAAATTAAAAAAAAGGACGGTGAGATTACGACAGGGATATCAGAGCTGGGGTTAGCAAAAATGGAAAGAAGTCTAGAAGGTGGCCAGTCTGGAAAATGCAGTTTAACTGCTATTGAATATATTATGCGGACACACAGGATGCAGAACTGTCTCATGTTATTAGCTCAAGCGTCTAACAGCCAAGAGTTAATCTTGCCCTGTTTAAGTGCCAATTATATTCTTATAACTGTTTACTTTTAGAGTCGACAAGAACACGTAGTCCTGCACACTTATTCAGAAGGGATACGAAGCTCCAACCCGCGCTGCTTTAACTTTGCCGCGCGTCTAAACACCGCGTGGTCTTAATGTTTAACGCACAGGCCGCTTTTGGTGTCGACAGTCAGGAAGAGTCATACAGTCATACAGGTCGATTGGAATCCAACAGCGATATTAAGGAATAGAGGCAACGATGAATATCACCAACGTGCGTTCTATACTGTCCATTTTGAGACATACTTTGGAAGCTTCGAAACTCTGATATTACGCGATTGTTTCCAGACTCAGTTGATGTATCGCACGACCGTGCCTGCAGGTGCCCAGACGAGGGCCCCTGCGGTCGGGAAGATACTCGCCCGCGAAACACGTGTGTGCAACGGGTCGGCCCAACCTGCAGGCGCTCCGGACAGGACCCCGGTGGACCAGCAGATACTCGCCCGTAACGCATTCGCTCATAAGGGACAAGCCTGCACTTCAGGCATTGAGGCTTGGACATAAATACTTGTGGCGTTATTTTAAGGCTTCCCCAGGATTCGGTTCAAGACAAATAGCCATGAGCGATGAATTGACACCGCAACGTGTTTCAACGCGGAGCAATAAAGCGGCACTCGTGGGTCCAGTAGCTTTGCTTCCCTTGCCTGTAATCGTGTGCACAACGCAAGTGCCCGATTGATTGTAAACGAAACTTACACACTAAACCCTCATGGATGCACGCTATATGCTTATGAACTTTTTAAATTCATAGCTTACTGTTCTCTGTCAGCTTCCTTTGCTCAGCTTTGCTAGCGCATTTTTAGACTTCAGCATAAACGCGTATCTTAACACTGGCATATTAAATAATGCGTTAGCGTAAAGTGCACACAGAAGCTGTGAATAAAAATGCCCATAGGATTGTATGTTATGCACAAGATTTACAGTTATAATATACAACTTTTCATTTTTAAGTATTCCACTCACTATGCACAAATTTCTGAATGGTCAAACAATTTTTACTGACTTGTGAACGACGTTTTGTACAGTTGGTCTTGCAAGTACTGCACGTTGAGGCACAACACATGCATTCTGGTTTAGTGTGTATCGTCATATTTTTCACCTCACGTCGGTACTAGACGATTAATTATTTTTGACACGACATGAAACAGTTCCCTAGCACTGTAAAAACGTTGCTTCCTGGTAACGAAGAATTTTACGACACCCAGAGGAGACATTACTGTTTTTGTTTTACATACTTTTACGAAGCAAATAATTATTGAAAATATCTGGGCATCCGTCTATATAAGAATTTTCTATTATTTTGCGCTTGGGAAGCAAGAGCTTTGGCAGTGATCATTCCCATGGTTCCGTTTTGAGGTCACAACAGATTTAAACGAAATTCGAAATACTACAGGCCCAGCCATCTGACCTAGAAGAGGGATAGCCTCAGACGTCTGCGGCAGGCATTCGGCAATCATGAGGGAAAATACTGACAGTGACAGCAGAATAGTAACGCCTGGAACAGAAAGCATTCACCCCAGTCACCGGAGTCACGCGCGATATTGTATCATTTCCCAGAATTTCATGTGAACTTCCTTCACTTATTCATTTATACGGATTTCTATTGCTACATAAAAAACAATTGGTAATGGCGACTTGTTGGCGAAATCCGTCTGCAAAGAAGCCTTGCTCTTAATTTTCGACGCTCTGACCAAGTCAACCGCGATAAACGGAATCCAGTGAATAAGACTTTGATCTACATTGACCGAAGGCTGATACACGTCTAACATTTGAACAGGGTGTTACACATATGACAGATACAAAAGGGTAGTGTGAAAGGTCCTGGAATGAAATGTTAGTCAAAAGACTTCTCAAAACGAAGCAATTAAGACAAAATATAAGGATGAAGATATTTACGGTTTTTTTTTTTTAACGAAACCACTTTTTGGAAGCTAAAATACCCCAACTATTTAAATTTAGTTCATGTGTAGCACCCCGTTAAGATATCCTCTAATTTCAAAGGGATTCATAGGTCTCTGAACCTGTAAGAGGCACTACATGCTTTCTACCTCAATGCTACTGCAGCGACTGCAATCCTACCAGCAAGAAGCGGCGGAAAAGAAGGACGCCGCAGATAGCCACAGGTACCCTGCACACACGTTCACTCCACCAGGTCACTTGAGGGGCGAAAGCCTCGTGCGGAATAAGCTACGTACTGGAGCGGCTGAGAGCCTGTCAGAGGTGTGCGTTTGAATGCTTTTTGAAGAGTTAAAAAGAAAGGCTGTCATTTCGTGCTTGGATGCGGCAAGCTCTGTCGTTCTGATGTAGTGATGTGTGTGCATGTGCAATGTGGAGATGGGCCTATGTAGAGCAGCTAGTACTATTTCAAGAGACTTGTGCTACCTAGCACAGGCATTGCATCTGAGACTTGGGGCAGAGCGTCGGCGACAAGGTTATGAAACACCGTAAGAGATAGCAGGATGGTGACGCCTGAAACAGATCAAAGGTTAACAGCCAGATCTCTAGTCTTGTAGCGAGCGTTTAGAAATTTTAAGTAGATTGAAACCCTGTAGATTGTCCTGCCCAAACTCACGTATACTGGGTTCTCTAAATATGTGCTACTGAAAATAAAAAGTGCCTGATTACAGGACAGCATCTTCGGCCTGTTGTAGCTATTAAAAGAGAACATGGTTAATTATAGCGATGATAAAATTTGACGGAG